TTCTATTTTAATTGACACGAAATCATGGCAATGCGCGTTGCAACTTGTTCGCTGACTTTGCCGTCTTGCCGCGCGACGGGCCTCCTGTCGTGTACCTTGTTCGGCGCTACAGCAAGAATGAAGTGCATTTTCTCTTGTGTGATGTAAACTATGACTGCTAGTGAGTTTGGGACTGTTTGAGGGCATAAGCAAAGTAGATATCTCAATATCGTTTTAGTAAAATCAGGAAGACTGTGTTGGAGCGGTGGGAAATGGCCCGAATAGTTTTTGCTCAGCTCAGGCCAATGAAGGTGCCTGTTTCTCGGATTGGCACCGAGTTTCGTTTGTGGGCCCTGTTTCCAAAAACTAGATGCTCGTCGAGTGCAGACCACACACCACAAGTGACGACGGCCTCCACAAAATGTAAATTTTTCTGCCAATGAAATGATTAGCCTGTTGCAGTTGTATTCTATCAGTTGTCACTAATTACAACTATCATTTACCAACTATCAGCTATCACTATGAATCACTAGTAACCAGATTTACTTGGAGGCCGTCGTCACTTGTGGTGTGTGGTCTGCACTCGACACGCTTCTGGTTCTTGGAAGCAGAGGGTAGCTATAGAACCAATGGATTATACTTCTGCCTACTGTCTTCGTTGTTGTTGAGCTAATTGAGTATTCAAAAGCTTACCACGAGGGGCGATTTCAGAGGATGTTGAGGATCTGGCGCAATTGAAGTGTGTTAACACGTTGACGACAGGCTGACGCGCATGCGCGTCAGAATTTGGCACCGCATCGGACATTCTGACGCGCATGCGCGTCAGAACTATGTCATTCATTTTTATCGTGCTTGCGCTCCTTCTTCTCGAGTTTTTTGTATTCATTCTATAGATAATACATTAGCATAACTATAAACCACATGGCAGCCAGAGTGGTCAAATATCCCTTGATTTAGCAAAGATTTTCTGAAACGCACAAAACTTTCATTTCAATTCTTTCCTAGTATTCCTTTCACTGTCGTAAACATTCATATGAAAGATTGTAGAAGCAGTTAATACAAAACTCTGTGAGTTTCAAGATATTTGTATTTGATGGAAAAACTTAGGTATAAATGCTTTTAATTTCATTCGCAGCGAAAGTGGATGTTTTTTGCTTCTTCGTGGTCATTATGCGTCTTCTAAACAAAAATTCTACTGCTATTTATATAGGTAACCTGCCGAAATAATCCTATGAGATTCAAGTTGTTGTGCATTTTAACAAAAAATAAGCGGAAGTAAGGTGAGGACGGCGCGCTCGCAAAATCGCTCCTGTCCCACGCGGTGCAAAATGCCAAAACACGCGATGTCGTCAACGTGTTAATGTGTGCCAGAATCAAATACCATAGCAACAGTAGTTGGGGAGGAGTAGGAGGGGAAGGGTTGCATGGTGGGCTCCCTCTAGGGGGTGTTGCAATTTTGCACATTGCTGACCGTCCGTTGTATGAGTACCCATCGTATCATTTTTTTATTTCAAAAATAGATCATCATTAATCTCTATTGAGAATTTTATCAGTGATGACGCGTATGGTTTCCTAGCTTCAAAAATGAGTGCAAACAGTTCAGGAACATTGAAAAGTCAAATAAATCGTATAAACTGTGCTCTTCTGTTTGAAATCGTGTGCCACATGGTGGCGCATGTGGTACACGAATTCACACAGAAGAGCTCACGCAATGTGTTAAAAATTTGTTTGTCATAACGTGAGGGTGATACTGCAGAGAGGGGCCTTGTTTGTAAGATTTATTTGCCATTTTTACGATGTCATTAAACGGTCGACATGCAAATCGAATCCGTGAAAGATTTTAAATTGTTCACTGACTTGTCTTTCCCCTTGTTCAAAGGCCTTCCTCAGGATCAAGCTGATATGGTTATTTCTCTCAAAAATAAAAGGAAGCGGTGCGATATGGATCGACAATGAAGAAAAAACTACCAAAAACCCTGAAGATAGGAACTTTTTTCTCTACGTAGTGGAGAATTCCCTACTACTTCGTACCGCGAGGACGGTATGGCCGTATGCTTGTTGACCCAATTACCTTTTTCGTGCTAGAGCTTCACTGACGATACCCTGGGTTGTGCCTTAACTCCTGAAAAGATTCAGGTTCTCACTGCCAAATCAGATTTGTTACTTTGGATTAATACTGAATGATCTGCGTTTTCTTTCTCTTCATTTGCTACCCGGGAAATTTCACCAGTTTGATGTCCTCTGAGCCAGGGTTGTATTTTATGGATCAAGTTCATAAACTGGTTACATTGGGACTCAAAGGCAAGCTTCGGGGGAATAGGGTGTGGCAGAGCGTTCAATAATGCAGTTGAGGGTGGATCGCATATGCAACGGCTAATCACACATTGAACTAGGCCGCTTCTCTTTCAGCAGCCTTCCTACTTATAGATGGGGGAGGGGCGTGTTAGGACGAGTTTTTTCGACATGGCCGCATCAATCGCTGATTTTCGACCTTGTATCTTATCTATAATTGCTATTAGCTATGCCATCAGCCATATTTCGTGTATTCGCGACCGCTGTTGGTAATTCTTACAACAACCGTGGGGGCGGGGGTGGAGGGGGCAGGTTGCACAGCGACTCAATGCTTGCAAATCCCCAACTATATCAGCGCCTAACCGTGCATTTTGAGTGCTATTGGCACGACCATTGGACATATGAGCTAGAACCAGGGTCAACCGTCACGTTGGACCAATTTCGAAAATTTTACGACCCCCCTCCCCCTTCTAGAGGGCCTCGATACGACCCCCTCAGGGTTAACCCTTCACGACCATCCTCCACCACCCTCGCCTGCCATCGCCATCATGGGGGCGATTCTATAGTATTTGATTCTGAGACCAGTCGACACAGCCCAACTCCGCCCACTTTTCCCTCCAAAATTGCCGTCGAGCGGGGGGGGGGGGTATATCGAATGTGAAACGGCAAAATTTTCACACTCAACACTCAACCCAAAATCCCAGCCTACAACCTAATCCGCTCGTTCCATAAAAAATCATCCCTTCCCTTACTGTAACATTAACGCTACCTCGCGAAATACGACCCCCCCCCCTTCCAACAAATAC